TATATCCCAGACGTGGCCGCGAGATGGCGGGACCACCTTACAGCCTGATCTAACGTCATTACAGGGCCGCATTTAAACCTTCCCTCAATGCTTTTTCTACTCAGTCAACCCCCCCCCAGCTGTTCTGTGTGAGACGTGGGTCCCAGTTGCACACACGACTCGACACAGAACGATAGTCGTGGTGAAGATGATCAGCAAATTCGCCTCCTGCTGTCCCTCAACATAAAACAAAGACTGATCGCGTATTGTTTTACACATTCCGTCATCCACATGGCCTTCAGGACTCCGGACTGGCTTTGGCATTCGGTGTCTCATGGGCAGAGTCAGGGTCGCTTGAGCCAGAGCTGCCAGACGTCCATAGGCAAGGCCCTCTCTGGTTGATAGGGGTCCTCGTGAGGACGAGACAAACCGTCTGGCTCGTGCCTGATACAAGTGATTCCGTGGCCACAAGTGGTTTATCATTTGAGGTAAAAGTGGAAATTGTATTGCCACGTGAAAACGAATTGTCACAGTAAGTGTGCACTTTAACACGAAGACTTTCGGGGCCGATATCATCCATAATATAGTTTTTGGGTTGTATATAAATGTTTCGTTAAAATCCGCCACCACCAGACACAGCCAACTAGTAAGGGTTGTTACGTAAACAGAACGTGGCCAACTCGTCACTAGTACAGCACACCGGTGTGTTGGAGAGCCAAGCCACAACATTTGCAATCTGTGTAACAATTTATTATTATTTTTTTGTTCCTGGGTAGTAAGTGTTATTTCCTAATTGCTTATGCCTCAAAAGTACAGAAAATGGCTATTATTTCCCATAAACTTTGCTTTTGTGACTAGGACAGTAATATTTAGAAATTTACCTCATTTTTTTGAACTTTCCAGATAGATGCAGTGCTGAGTAAACTTGGAGTAACTTCTAGAACATTCTAGAACTTTCTAGTAATATAAATAGTAGTATAAATACAGGGGTCTTTTGCCCACCAGTTCAGTTTAGTTCCAGCTGCCTACGTGGATACATATCTGCATTTTTCTGAGATGTCATCAAGAGGCTGCAAGCATCCGGCAGACGCATTTTGCTATTTCTGCGGCCAATTTATCAAGACAAGAGCGAAAAACTACTCTGTGGAAGCATCTGCTAAGATGTGTGAGGCCTACAAGGCATATTTCGGCATGCCTGTTGGGGATCAAGACAAACTCTGGGCATCTCATTTCACCTGCGAGGAATGCAAAAATGGTTGCTCAGAATTTTACAATGGTTGCTCAGAATTTTATGTTATAAAATTTGTAAAAAAAAAAATTATAAAGTTTATTTTTATTTTTAAATGTTTTACAATTTTCAATGGTTTTGAAAAAACATATCACATATGAAAAATGTTGCGAGAATCTCTTACACATTAGTCATGGGTAAAATAAATGTATTTTTGTGGGATGGTACAGAGAGGAAAAGAGAGCCGTGAAGTTCGCTATCCCATGAATTTGGCAGGAACCCACTGACCACTCAAGCAACTGCTACTTCTGCATGGTGGACCCTTCCAAACCTCGGACTGGCAAGAACACACCTGCTATCACGTATCCGGACCTTCCTTCATCCATCACCCCGGCGTCACACTGCCATGAGCTCCCCGTACCCACTCCTCCGGGGAGAGAGCAGCCGTCTTGAGAAGAGAGCAGCAAGTCAGAGAGCGAGGAAGACGTCGTAGATCCAGATGACAATTTCAGAGGTGGAGCTGAGGAGAGAAACCCATACTACCCGAACCAAAAACACCTCAACGACTTGACCAGAGATGGTTGTTCTCACCAAGTCCAATGCCGAGCTTTTAACGTCTAGGCTCAAGCAGTGGAACTTGTTGGGTGAAATATTCTTTGGTTCTTTCGGTAAAGTGACGTAGAAAAAAAAATAAAGTGAATAAAAATAAAATAGAATATTTTAATAATTAAAACGAAAAAACCATTAATGTAGACTATAGCCTGGTTTTTAAGCTGGTGAGCAAATTGGCAATCTATAATGTAGACTGTAGCAATGGTTATTAAACTGACTGAGCGCACTGATAGTCTATAATATAGACTTATTCTGGTTCTTTCAGTAATACAAATAAAATAAGAATAAAAATTAAAGAACCAGGCTACAGTCTACATTATAGACTGACAGTACGCTCACCAAGGTTAAAAACCAGGCTACAGTCTACATTATAGACTGCCAGTACACTTACCCAGCTTAATAACCATTGCTACAGTATAAATGAATGACTGCCAGTACACTCACTCCGATTAAGAACCAGGCTACAGTCTACATTATAGACTGTCATTACACTCACCCAGCTTAATAACCTATTGCTACAGTCTACAATATAGACTGCCAGCACACTCACCAAACTTAATAACCAGGCTACAGTCCACATTGGAGATTGCCAGTACACTCACTCCGATTAAGAACCAGGCTACAGTCTACATTAAGTTTCGATTTAAAGCTTTCGTGACTGCAGGGATTCATCTTCTTGGTTCTTTCGGTAAAGTCACGTAGAAGGGAAGTAATAAAATAATAAAAATAAAACATAATAAAATAAAATAATTCTCACGACGTTTCGGCAACAACGCAAGCAGCCGTCCTCAGGTGAAGAATGAAACACCACCAAGCTTGGAGTGTATATTTAAGCTGGTTTGGAGGGGGGGAGGTGGGAAGAAGAGCGCCTTGACAAAATAATTTGCATATCAAGAGGAATTTAGCATATGGAAAATGCGTAGGAGGTGGGCGGGGGGGTTCAAATTAATATTATGCCCGTGCATTATGCAGGATTAGCAGCATCAAAGGGAGGGGGAAGGGGGGTAGCATTAACAAAGGAAAGGAATCTTAATAGTATGTAGCTGCAGTTACTAAACAACCACGTAGAAAACTAAAGTATAAACTACATAAACAACTAAAGTATAAACTACATAGCATCATCAGTATACTTACTATACTCTATAATAAGCTGAGTTACTAACAGTAAGTAATACATTACAATTCTACGTCGTAAAAATTATATAATATGCTTCCAGCTAAACTTTATTCTCTTACATCACACGAGTCTACACCGTACTGCCATAGACAAACCCAACAGTATATCACTGGCCTGGTCACAAAAGCAAAGTTTGTGGGGAATAATAGCCATCTTTCTACTTTTTAGGCATAAGAAATTACAAAATAACACTTACTACCCAGGAACAAAAATTGTGTTACATAGTGTTATCAAAATAAGTTGAGTGTCCTTGTTGGCACGCTGTACTGGTGACGAATTGGCACGTTCTGTTTACGTGACAACCCTTACTCGTTGGCTGTGTCGGGTGGTGGCGGGTTCGAACGACACATTTATATATTTACGCGATCTAACCCCAAAAACCTCTATTATGGAAGTGTGCACTTGCTGTACATGCCAAATTCACGCTAATTACTGCCACAACCTGTGCTAATCGGGAGGTAATCTACGCCGCCTGTCGGCTGTCGCATGGCTGACCGCTAATTGCACAGCGTGCACTGAAAGCACAGCAGCAGCAAGCAGGACGCCTCGTGCTCACCGCAGCTCCATTCTCAAGCACGATGACAGCGGCGGCAACGTACAGGAGCTCAACGCCCATGTCGAGGTTTGCTGCTGGCCACGACGAGAATCGAGCGCTTCAGGAGAGAGAGTCCGTGTCGTTTTACTGCGCAGCGCATTCCAAGATTGTCGCCGTGACCGTGCATCGTGAGGGCGCGGCGTGGCAAGTGCTGGGTGTGGATGCACCACACGCCGCCGAACTGGCGAAGCGTAAATCCCCGTTGTGTTCAGAGCAATCTGCTGCTGCTGCTCAAATCGGCATCAGGGCATCAGAGCTCAACCTCCTCCTGTTGGCAGCCCTGTGGAGCCAGTGGTGGGAATTTTGTCTTCCTATCGTGGGGCCAGATAGGAACGACCTCTTGACTCGGCAGTTGGGAAAGGTTATTTTACTTGTAATTCTACCTGTGGTGGAGTAGAGTGCGTGTACGGCCACCGCTTCCAAGACGTCTGGAAGAGTAGACCAAATGGATATTCTAGAGGGTCTCTTTGAAGTGGAGGCGCTTGCGCCAGCGGTGAAGAAGCAATCGCCTTGACACACAACCTCGACCTTGATATCACACACAACTTTGACCTTGATATCACACACAACCTTGATATTACACACAACCTCGACCTTGATACTACACACAGCCTTGATATTACACACAACCTCGACCTTGATATCACACACAACTTTGACCTTGATATCACACGCAACCTTGACCTTGATATCACACACAGCCTTGACCTTGATATCACACGCAACCTCGACCTTGTTATTACCCACAATCTCGACCTTGATACTACACACAAACTTGATAATACACACAGCCTCGACTCAGCACATCTGAGGGCTTGTAGAGGCCTTAATTGGCTGAGGACGACTGTATACCGAAGGTGCATATACGTACACGTATCGAAGATATGTCGCGCAGCATGCGTAGCCTGTTGGAGCAAGTGCCGTCAGCGGGCATCTATTAAGGTTAAACCAGCACACGAGGGAGTGGATTGGCCAGTACCACGCCCGACCGCCTTTATCTCCCCATTAGTGATGCTTATTACACACCGCACAATGCACTCAGTTTAAGACTGAGTCTACCTAGTGGAGGCCCATGACCTATTGCAATGTGTATCGCTGATGTTGGCCGTGAGCGGGAATCGATCTCGGGTCCTCGTGCTCCTAGCGCAGTGCGCTAATCACTGTGCCACCACTCTTCAAATGCGGTACATACCGTCACGCGCGTAACACGCACGCACATGCATATACATACATCCAAACGTGCAGAAACACACACAAACACATTCCTGGTGCCAATAACACACTGCACTGGGTACGCACTCAATTGAGGCTGAGTCGACCTCGGGGCGGGGAAGTTTGGCTGGTTTAGGGCCGGCCAGTTCAGATATCACGCGGCGCCACTGATGTTATCCGTGACTTGGACTCAAACTCACGCCCCCAGCACGCACTCGCATAGACTCGCCCAGGAGCAGATGCCACGTGTTTAACAGCAGCCAGGGGGTAAGTCGTTCTCATCATCAACTCACCTTTACAATTCGTTGCAATTAATCACCCACCGGCTAATTAACACGCGCGCGCGCGACTCTTGCTTGATGTCTGGGTCAAGGTATTTTACGCCGCTCACGGGGAGCCCGGGGCGGGGGGGGGTCCTCGGTTACCCGTGGGGTGTCGAGCGGACCCGCCACGCGCCGCTGGGACTTTGGGGGCTTCCCAGTCAAGAGGATACCGAATCTCTTTCTGGCACGGCGTTAATTGAGCCAATTATAGAGGCAGCCGCCTTAATCGACAACCATGTGTTGAGATGTAAATGTGGTCGACGTTAAAGAAAACAAGAGCTTATTTTCATCTGAAAAATGTTAGGGCCAAATCGGTCAATCCACTGCTGGACGAAGGCCTCCCCCCAAGCCTCCGCAACCATTACCTCCCTCTTCTCGCGATGTTGCGATGTCGCAGTCCGCCCGGGACTTGTACTCTCATTACGCGCAGGGTATTTGGCCATACTTCACCACGCTGGTCGATGCTCTTTTCTCAAAATGGGGTTAGCAGTTGTAGGGGGGGAGCGTCTAGAACCGGTTCAGATGTCCCCAGTTCGCTACTGATGTTAGCCGTGGCATGGAAATCGAACGCAGGCTCGCTAGGTCCATGGCGGAGTGCGATAACCACTGCGCCACCGCCCAAACGACAGTCCAAGCCGTACTGAGAAAGAACCCCAGGTGATCGTTGGTGAGGAGTGTGGGGTCGTGGCGATGGTGATGATGATGTAAATTACATCTTTAAATAATATTCCGTGGTGTAAACTGCATGCAGAGGAAAAGCTCCCAGACCATCAGCTCACAAGAACTGCACGCGTGGCCGTTTTGTCATTTAGTCCACCAAACGCAAAGATGTGACCGTCCCGTGCAGTTCTCTCGAACTGGTGGTCTGGACAAGACTGACGGCTCCTGTACGTGCGATGATGCTGCACACCCGTGTGTGTGTTGGTGGGCGCACGTGGCGACATCTGAACTATCTCGCCTGCTATACAAGAGGTCGTGGGTTCGATCCCGACACTGATGCCTGCTGCTGTATATTTAGAGTTTGCGTGTCTCTCTCCCCATGGCCGCTGAGGTTTTTCTCCGGGTTCTCCGCTTTTTCCCTCCACATTTAGAAACATGCGTTTGAGTATTTGGCTGCTACTATAAATTCTCACGTGACAAGCTACTTTGTTGAGTTATCATGTGTGGCCAGGTCGCTTCTGAAAAGACCTGTACAGTTCAATGGGCCGTACCTGGTAAAATAAACAAAAAGTGTTTGTCTAGAATTTGCTTCAAGGCTGCACTCACGTTTATACTGTGATGAGTCTTCTCGTCATTGACAGATGTTGAACAAATACAAAATAGCCCAACACATTCGCCCATAACAGCGATACTGACGGGCGTGTCGAGTATTCGTTTCGTCTGCGCTTGTTTGTTGAACTTCTTCCGTACCGTACGTAGCCAACCGTGCTAATCGGAGGTGCACCGGTGCCTACGCAGATGTAGCAGCATCACCACCACCAGCTAGAATTCGTTCACATTTCGATGCACGTGTCGTTGTCGGACCAAGGACACACGACGATTGTGTCTGCTCGAGATGTCGCTCCGGGTTTGTCGTCGCGATCTCCCCGGGAGCGCTGCTCGGCGGAGTGCCTCGCAGCAGTGGCAACAGAGAGGCGGGCAGGGCGCAGCGCTCGAGCAAGGCTGTGCCTGACAATGAACATCGCCATTCCGATGATCCTCAAGGAGGAGGAAGCTGTTTTAATCAGTGCGCACTTTTGCCCGCCGTGGCACGCGGGTGGGAAGCGTGGATATTGTTAAAGAACGTGTAACGAAAGCCGAGAATTGCGCATAGAAGCGTGAGGAGAGAGGCCGAGCCTTTGAAGTACGCCGAGAGGCACAGAGAGAAGCAGGCGGATGAGAGAACGCGCGCCGGTTGGAGTCATCGCATTGACCGTGAAGGGGAGTGAGTGGAGGAATCGACAGCAGGACGCGGCACGGAGAGGCAGCCGAGAGGGAGTCCACCGTGGAGACGGAGCGATGACATCGGCTCGCGTGTAGGAGCAAGACGGATTGTGGAATCGCACGGCCGTGAGGGGAATGGGGATGCCTTCATCCAGCAGTTGATTGACCACGGCTCATGTTGATGATGATGTTTGCGTTAACCCAATGCCAACGCGAACAGAGCGAAGGAGGCATTGGAGAACCTGTTTATACACTTACCATGATAATCATTTATTAAGCACACGTTCATGTATATACGCTTAATAGTTAATATTCACTGACAAATAAACGCAATTAATCATCGCGTGCGCCAACAATTTACTGTAAGAACGTTGGAAAATCGTCCTCGCCCGAGAAATACAAAATGTTGATGTAGTCCATCGGCCGAGCGGCCTTCGAGATCAATACGATCCAGTTCGCTGGTTTAAGCACAACAACTCTGGGCCGGTTTCGATCCTCTAGGTCTCATCAGCAGTTCGTCAGCCTTGTTTAACAAATGCTGCTCGATTCCCAGATGTTATTGGTAAGAGCGCTCCGTATAAACCATGGGGCCCCATTCGACCTCACAGCAAATTCTTAAAGCTTTCCAAACGGCACATCGCTGCCCGACCAGTTTACGAGATTTCCGAGGAGATCCGATGAGATCAGGTGAATTCGTTTTTGTTGTTGCCATCGGTTAAACCATTGAAACTTTCGCGAAATTCATCATCGGCGTCGCAGCAGCCGCGTTCCGCTATTTCCACCGCGCTGCACAACGTGCCATAATTGTGTTATCATTTGCCACATACGCCTCATTCTGTTCCTTCCTCACAGACCCCCCCCCACCCCCCACAGATCCTCATGCTCGATAGCCGGGCCGGGCCTGACGCGCGCGCAAACAGCCCTGACGATAACGCCAGCCGCACTCCTCTGTGTGTGTGTGTGCGCGGGCACGTCACTGCTACTCACCATCATTATTCCTGTTCCACAATATAATTCATAATGTAAGAGGCAGGGCTTTGGAGCTCAGCGCTGTTGTGTCAGAAGAACAATTCTTATGCAACGAAAGCTCGCGATTTGATCTGCGCTGAAAGCGAGAATAATTGTCGCGGTAAGAGCTCGTACGGTACATCACGTGAGAGTGATTTGTTTGGCCTGACAACATAACTTGGCCTGACAACATAACTTCGGCGAGATTCTTACGAGGCCTCGCCTAAAAATCAATGATGAATCATAGTTCAAAAGTGTTATTTGGGGACGTTTCCGTGATGGTTGAGACATTGATTGTTGTGGCGTAAGGCGCTTTGAGTTTTTCGATGTTTTTCAAGTGCCGTATCAATACACAAATTCTGATGACTATCAATAATACTCATCAATACCAAAACAAATATTCATGAACGTCACCATTCCTTCCCGTGCAGATCGCTTAATCCAATGAGCCCTCGCTCACTTCGCCAAGCGCTCACTCTGAGTAGAGGACGTCTGAAGGGGGTTGATTGATCGCGATGAGATGGAGCCAGAACATTTGTGAAGCTTCTACTGGGCTAGGTGGCTTGTGAAGGACGGGAGAGAGCACAGCAAGTAGGTTGCGGATGGTGTCCTCAGAAGATATCGCTGCGCAGAAGCTTTTGAGTGGGCCAAGTTTTCTGGGTTCCCCTCCACATATAAACCGTCTTTGCTCAAACAGCTGGGACAAACCCTTTTTGAAATTGAGGTCTTCAGACTCAATAATAGTGTTACTGTCAACCGCACGCACAAATCCCACTCAGGAAACAGATGAACAAATAAACAAACAAATAGGCTGTCAATAAAATGTCTCCCAGCAGAATTGGCTTAAGCAGAAAACTCTGGGCAGGTTTTATTTTTTTCTGAGCATCATCAGCGGGCGTGCGGCAAGTCGAATACACGCCTCTGTGCTGGCTGATGTTACAGGGCAACTGAACTTGCCCAACGTTTCGCGCAGCACCCTCTTGAAAATAAGCATTGAAACTGGCCACGACACTCGTTGCTACTGCTCCTGCCACAGTAACGCGCACATGCCGTTGGCGCTCATCCCACAGAGCACCCCCTGAGTGGTAGCTGCTCAACAGCGGTATGCAGGAGGCAAGGGGAAGATGCAGCGGATGATGTGGTGGTGAGTTGATTGGTGCTGATGGCAGCCGAGGTGATTGGTGCTGGTGGTGTTGTTGTTGTGAGTGGTGTTGGTGGTTGAGATGTTGGTTGAGATCGTAATATTGGTGATTGAGGTGGTGCTGATGGTGTTGGCTCACCATCCCACCTCTGTGTGCCCACCACGCAGACGATGTCCACCGACACCGAGTCTCTATCCTACTACTATGGCTTCATCACTCGCAAGGAGGCCGAGCGCTTCCTCAAGCGGGGCCGCCGGGACGGCTGCTACCTCCTCAGGGCCAGCCGCAGCCACCTGGGCGGCTTCGTGCTGAGCGTGCGCTACCGGAGGGGCCAGTGCAAGCACTACCCCGTGGTGCGCACGGGAGGAGGCCGCTTTGCCATCGCGGGCGAGGCGGCCACCACGCTGGAGGAGGACGGCGTGGGCGCCGAGCACGCGAGCCCCTCCGATTTGTGCTCCTACCACTGCCTCGTGGCCGACCGCCTCTGCTGCGTGCTCACGGACGCCGTGCAGAGGCCGCCCGAGTTCAAGCCCGGCTCCCCGCTCTTCGACGTCGTCAAGGAGAAGACGCTCCGCGCATACGTGCGCGACAACTTAGGCCTGCAGGTGAGCGCTGTGGTGGGGGTGATGCGGTGGGGGTGCTGTGGGGTGAGTGTTTTGGGGTGAGTGTTTTGGGGTGAGTGTTTTGGGGTGAGTGTTTTGGGGTGAATGCTGTGGTGAGTGTTTTGGGGTGAGTGTTTTGGGGTGAGTGTTTTGGGATGAGTGTTTTGGGGTGAGTGTTTTGGGGTGAGTGTTTTGGGGTGAGTGTTTTGGAGTGAGTGTTTTGGGGTGAGTGTTTTGGGATGAGTGTTTTGGGGTGAATGCTGTGGTGAGTGTTTTGGGGTGAGTGTTTTGGGATGAGTGTTTTGGGTTGAGTGTTTTGGGATGAGTGTTTTGGGGTGAATGCTGTGGTGAGTGTTTTGGGGTGAGTGTTTTGGGGTGAGCGCTGTGGAATGGATGGATCAAGTCCGATGAAGATTATACTGATACACTAGACACGCGTCCTTGTCAATGTACACGCGAGTGCGATCATCGCACCGTCGAATAGCACGGTTAACACGGTTAATACGGTGCGAAATAAATTCAACATACATGTACATAATCATCCTAAATCTAACTTATTGTTTTATGAAACTTAATGTAACTGTGAAGGTTCTTTTAAAGTCTAATTTGTCCGCGCCGACTTTCAAAACAGGGAACTCATTTTATATAATTTGTATACTCTTTGGTTCTTTCGGTAAAGTCACGTGGGCAGAAAATAAAATAAATCACGACGTTTAGGGCGCAACACGTCCATCATCACGTGATGATGGACGCTTGTGTTGTGCCCGAAACGTCGTGATGCATTTTATTTTATAACTACGTGACTTTACCGACAGAACCAAAGAGTATGGATTCCTGCAGTCACGAAAGCTTCAAATCAATATAATTTTTGTTTGTGCAGAATTTTTTTATTTCTCTTGCAAATGAAACTCTTTGTCCCTCGAGACTCTCCTGGTTCAACAAAACACACTCGACACGTTTTGTTGTTGTTGCTGATATTGTTGATGTTGTTGTCAGGGCGAGGCGCTGGAGGAGTACCTGAGAACGCGGGGCCACGAGCTGGAGCCCATGGTGGTGTCGACGCTGCACGAGCAGATGGCGTGGTTCCACCGCAGGATAACGCGCAGGGAGGCCGAGGCCAGGCTGATGCGGGGCGGCCACGCCAGCAACGGCACCTTCCTGTAAGCCCCGACTCTAGCCCTATCCTATAACGTGAAGCGTGGAAGGCTGGCAGGAGGTCACGCTTGCAGTTGTCATTAGTTGAGTGACTGAGATGACTGCAGATGTAACACACGTGCCCCCATTGTGTCAAGTTGCACACAAAGGACACGCAAGCACAGACACACTCACACACAATCCCAACAGAAATGTACGTATACACGTACACTCAACATTTACCTCCGTACAGCCTAAACAGACAGTGCTGTTAGCGAGCACCTACGAAGGCCGGCACGGCACACGAGGGGGTGGGTGGCCAATACCACGCCCGGCCGTCTTTGTCTCCCCAGTGGGGATGTTTACACAACGCACCAAGTACTCATCTGAGGTTGAATCTACCTAGGAGAGGCCCATAGCCAGTTCAAATATTCTGTACTGTTTCGATTTAAAGCTTTCGTGACTGCAAGGATTCATCTTCTTGGTTGTTTCGGTAAAGTCACGTAGAAGGGAAATAATAAAAGAATAAAAAGTAAAACATAATAAAATACAATTCTCACGACGTTTCGGCCACAACGCAAGCAGCCGTCCTCAGGTGAAGAACAGGTCTGTCGGAAAGACAGCGTCTGAATGAGCTTGCGTTGTGGCCGAAACGTCGTGAGAATTGTATTTTATTATGTTTTATTTATTATTTTATTATTTCCCTTCTACGTGACTTTACCGAAAGAACCAAGAAGATTTTGTACTGTTATTTATTGTGCGCGGGAATCAAACTCGGGTGGTCGGGTTTGTGGCGCAGCGCGCTAACCACTGCGCCACCGCCCCCCACACGTGGAGACAAAGATCCCCCGTATAGCCTTCACAGACTGTAGGGGCAAGTGCTGTTAGCGAGCACCTGTGAAGGCCAGAACGGTACACGAGGGGGTGGGTGGCCAGCAACCACGCCCGACCGCCTTTGTCTCCCTAGCGGCGATGTTTACACACCGCACCAGGTACTCATTTGAGGCTGAGTCGACCTAGGGGAGGCCCAGGACCGGTTCAGATAATCGTCACTGGTGTTTGCCGTGAGCGGGAATCGAACCCGGGTCGCCAGGTTCGTAGTGCAGCGCGCTAACCACTGCGCCACCGCTCCCCACACATGGAGACACAAACATACTCACACACGCCCACGTACTCTCAAGATACTCAACCCAAGGGCATGACCAATCTCGCCAAAAATTACCCAATCTTCTAAAATTACCTCCGTGTATTCCTGCCCCCATCCACCCACCCACCCAGCCATCCCCTCCCCTCCTTACGCACACGTATGCAGAGTAGAGTCGTTAAGCAATGGGGTTTCTGTGTCACCAGTAACCGCTCACAATGATTATGCGGTATCATTACTGGTTCACCGCACATATACACGCCGCGTGTCTGGATGTTTGACTTAGCAACGAAGGCAGCTGCCACATCGGTGTTGATGAGTTATTTCTAGATTTGAAGCTTTCGTGACTGCAAGGATTCATATTCTTAGGGTTTTTTCGGTAAAGTCACGTAGGTAAAAAATAAAATTAAAATAATAAAAGTAAAATAAAAATCACGACGTTTCGGAGGCAACACAAGCTTCCGTCTTCAGGTGGAACCGTCACAGCACGATTGCCGTATCAAGTAAGAAAAAATCTTACTTGATACGAGGTAGGCCTATCTCACCCACTCACTCACCCACTCACCTACTCACCCACTCACTCACCCACTCACGCACTCACCTACTCACCCACTCACTCACCTAGACACATACCTACTCACCCACTCACTCACCCACTCACCTACTCACCCACTCACTTACCCACTCACCTACTCACCCACTCACTCACCCACTCACGCACTCACCTACTCACCCACTCACTCACCTAGACACATACCTACTCACCCACTCACTCACCCACTCACCTACTCACCCACTCACTTACCCACTCACCTACTCACCCACTCACTCACCCACTCACGCACTCACCTACTCACCCACTCACTCACCTAGACACATACCTACTCACCCACTCACTCACCCACTCACCTACTCACCCACTCACTCACCCACTCACCTACTCACCCACTCATTTACCCACTCACCTACTCACCCACTCACTCACCCACTCACGCACTCACCCACTCACTTACCCACTCACCTACTCACCCACTCACCTACTCACCCACTCACTCACCTAGACACATACCTACTCACCCACTCACTCACCCACTCACCTACTCACCCACCCACTCACGCACTCACCTACTCACCCACTCACTCACCTAGACACATACCTACTCACCCGCTCACTCACCCACTCACCTACTCACCCACTCACTCACCTAGACACATACCTACTCACCCACTCACTCACCCACTCACCTACTCACCCACTCACTCACCCACTCACCTACTCACCCACTCACTTACCCACTCACCTACTCACCCACTCACTCACCCACTCACGCACTCACCCACTCACTTACCCACTCACCTACTCACCCACTCACTCACCCACTCACGCACTCACCACAGTGCAGGTCACCTCGCTTTTCTCACTGCCCCTTCCCTCGCCTCGCTCCACTCTGGAAGTCCTTCCTCTCATCGATAACCTCGCTCAATTCAAGAAGCGCGTGACACTATTTGTTCATTAGAACTGTGACAGTGCCGTGTGTTACTGGTCGCTTGAGGCTTTGGGCCGTTGGGCTTAGCAGATGTGTTACATTTTCAAAGCACACACATCCATGGCGAACTTAAACACATGTGCCCATTATGGTAATTAGTGCAATTATGGAGCTAGGCTGTGGTGAGGGAAGAACAGGGACACTGCGTCCGTCTCCACCTCTTGACGATGCACAGCACAAGGGAGCTCATCAGAGCATTGTTCCCTACACCACGAATAGAATCATCATCTCATCAGAGCAGAGTAAAGACCCACACAGGCAATGATCACCCACGCAGCCCGCAGGCTATTGTTGTGCCGTGAGTGAGCGCCAATGATGACCGGCGCATCGCGCGAATAGGGTGGGTTGTGAGCATCAACTCCTGACCGCCTTTGAGTCGTCCACGCTGATGTTTTACACGCCGCACCAGATGACAATTTAAGGCTGAGTCGACCGAGAGGAGGTCCACATGACTGTGCGCTCACCCTGCTACACCACCGCCATCATCTCAATCATCATCGTGTCAATCAGAGCAGATTAAAAATCCACACACACTCGGTGGGGGGGGGGGTGTTTAGCGACCCCCCCCCCGCCATGCCCCGGGATACAAAAAAAAAATAAAGTGCGCAGGGAAGCAGAGGAGGGAGATTCACGCGAGCAGTTACGCTGGGAGAGAAATTAGAATGCGTGGATTCTAAAAGACACGGAGATTGGAGACATCCAACGGTGGGCAGACCACGATGATGATAAGAGCATGGAGAGAAGCACGGATATATATTGATCTCCATCCAGCAGTGGATATATCGTGGTGACGAACGCGTGGAGAGATGATTGCTGATTGAGAAGAGCACGTGCACGAGAGAACGCACCCAGCTGAGAGAACGCACCCACCCAGCTAAGAGACGTCACCCACCCAGCTAAGAGACGTCACCCACCCAGGTTAGAGACGTCACCCACCCAGGTTAGAGACGTCACCCACCCAGCTAAGAGACGTCACCCACCCAGGTTAGAGACGTCACCCACCCAGCTAAGAGACGTCACCCACCCAGGTTAGAGACGTCACCCACCCAGGTTAGAGACGTGACCCACCCAGGTTAGAGACGTCACCCACCCACCTAAGAGACGTCACCCACCCAGGTTAGAGACGTCACCCACCCAGCTAAGAGACGTCACCCACCCAGGTTAGAGACGTCACCCACCCAGGTTAGAGACGTCACCTACCCAGCTAAGAGACGTCACCCACCCAGGTTAGAGACGTCACCCACCCAGCTAAGAGACGTCACCCACCCAGGTTAGAGACGTCAGCCACCCAGCTAAGAGACGTCACCCACCCAGCTAAGAGACGTCACCCACCCAGGTTAGAGACGTCACCCACCCAACTAAGAGACGTCACCCACCCAGGTTAGAGACGTCACCCACCCAGGTTAGAGACGTCACCCACCCAGGTTAGAGACGTCACCCACCCAGGTTAGAGACGTCACCCACCCAGCTAAGAGACGTCACCCACCCAGGTTAGAGACGTCACCCACCCAGGTTAGAGACGTCACCCACCCAGGTTAGAGACGTCACCCACCCAGCTAAGAGACGTCACCCACCCAGGTTAGAGACGTCACCCACCCAGGTTAGAGACGTCACCCACCCAGGTTAGAGACGTCACCCACCCAGCTAAGAGACGTCACCCACCCAGGTTAGAGACGTCACCCACCCAGCTAAGAGACGTCACCCACCCAGGTTAGAGACGTCACCCACCCAGGTTAGAGACGTCACCCACCCAGCTAAGAGACGTCACCCACCCAGGTTAGAGACGTCACCCACCCAGCTAAGAGACGTCACCCACCCAGGTTAGAGACGTCACCCACCCAGCTAAGAGACGTCACCCACCCAGCTAAGAGACGTCACCCACCCAGGTTAGAGACGTCACCCACCCAGCTAAGAGACGTCACCCACCCAGATTAGAGACGTCACCCACCCAGGTTAGAGACGTCACCCACCCAGGTTAGAGACGTCACCCACCCAGCTAAGAGACGTCACCCACCTAGGTTAGAGACGTCACCCACCCAGGTTAGAGACGTCACCCACCCAGCGAAGAGACGTCACCCACCCAGGTTAGAGACGTCACCCACCCAGCTAAGAGGCGTCACCCACCCAGGTTAGAGACGTCACCCACCCAGGTTAGAGACATCACCCACCCAGGCTAGAGACATCACCCACCAAGGTTAGAGACATCACCCACCCAGGTTAGAGACGTCACCCACCCAGGTTAGAGACGTCACCCACCCAGCTAAGAGACGTCACCCACCCAGCTAAGAGACGTCACCCACCCAGGTTAGAGACGTCACCTACCCAGCTAAGAGACGTCACCCACCCAGGTTAGAGACGTCACCCACCCAGCTAAGAGACGTCACCCACCCAGCTAAGAGACGTCACCCACCCGGTGCACGTGGAGTGGGTGGGGGTTAGGCAGCAGGACCCGCCGCGGCCACAAGGGACGGTGATGGCCGATGGTCGAGAGCGTGCTGAGTGAACCGTGCTGAGTGAACCGTGCTGAGTGAACCGTGCTGAGTGAACCGTGCTGAGCGAATCGTGCTGAGTGGACCGTGCTGAGCGAATCGTGCTGAGTGAATCGTGCTGAGTGGACCGTGCTGAGCGAATCGTGCTGAGTGAACCGTGCTGAGCGAACCGTGCTGAGCGAACCGTGCTGAGTGAACCGTGCTGAGTGAATCGTGCTGAGTGAACCGTGCTGAGCGGACCGTGCTGAGTGGACCGTGCTGAGTGAACCGTGCTGAGTGGACCGTGCTGAGTGAACCGTGCTGAGCGAATCGTGCTGAGTGAACCGTGCTGAGTGAACCGTGCTGAGCGAACCGTGTTGAGTGGACCGTGCTGAGTGAACCGTGCTGAGTGAACCGTGCTGAGTGAACCGTGCTGAGTGGACCGTGCTGAGTGGACCGTGCTGAGTGAACCGTGCTGAGTGAACCGTGCTGAGCGAATCGTGCTGAGTGGACCGTGCTGAGCGAATCGTGCTGAGTGGACCGTGCTGAGTGAACCGTGCTGAGTGAACCGTGCTGAGTGGACCGTGCTGAGTGAACCGTGCTGAATAGACAGTGCTGAGTGAACCGTGTTGAGTGGACCGTGCTGAGTGAACCGTGCTGAATAGACAGTGCTGAGTGAACCGTGCTGAGTGAACCGTGCTGAGTGAACCGTGCTGAGCGAATCGTGCTGAGTGGACCGTGCTAAGTGGACCGTGCTGAGTGAACCGTGCTGAGTGAACCGTGCTGAGCGAATCGTGCTGAGTGGACCGTGCTGAGTGAACCGTGCTGAGTGAACCGTGCTGAGCGAATCGTGCTGAGTGGACCGTGCTGAGTGGACCGTGCTGAGTGAACCGTGCTGAATAGACAGTGCTGAGTGAACCGTGCTGAGTGGACCGTGCTGAGTGGACCGTGCTGAGTGGACCGTGCTGAGTGAATCGTGCTGAGTGGACCGTGCTGAGTGAATCGTGCTGAGTGGACCGTGCTGAGTGGACCGTGCTGAGTGAACCGTGCTGAGTGAACCGTGCTGAGTGGACTGTGCTGAGTGGACCGTGCTGAGTGAACCGTGCTGAGTGGACCGTGCTGAGTGAACCGTGCTGAGTGAACCGTGCTGAGTGGACCGTGCTGAGCGAACCGTGCTGAGCGAACCGTGCTGAGCGAACCGTGCTGAGCGAACCGTGCTGAGCTAACCGTGCTGAGTGAACCGTGCTGAGTGAACCGTGCTGAGCGAATCGTGCTGAGTGAACCGTGCTGAGTGAACCGTGCTGAGTGAACCGTGCTGAGCGAATCGTGCTGAGTGAACCGTGCTGAGTGAACCGTGCTGAGTGAACCGTGCTGAGTGAACCGTGCTGAGCGAATCGTGCTGAGTGGACCTGCTGAGTGGACCGTGCTGAGTGAACCGTGCTGAGTGGACCGTGCTGAGTGGACCGTGCTGAGTGAACCGTGTTGAGTGGACCGTGCTGAGTAGACCGTGCTGAGTAGACAGTGCTGAGTGAACCGTGCTGAGTAGACAGTGCTGAGTGAACCGTGCTGAGTGGACCGTGCTGAGTGAACCGTGCTGAGTAGACAGTGCTGAGTGAACCGTGTTGAGTGGACCGTGCTGAGTGAACCGTGCTGAGTAGACAGTGCTGAGTGAACCGTGCTGAGTAGACAGTGCTGAGTGAACCGTGCTGAGTGGACCGTGCTGAGTGAACCGTGCTGAGTGAACCGTGCTGAGTGAACCGTGCTGAATAGACAGTGCTGAGTGAACCGTGCTGAGCGAACCGTGCTGAGTGGACCGTGCTGAGTGAACCGTGCTGAGCGAACCGTGCTGAGTGAACCGTGCTGAGCGGACTGTGCTGAGCGAACCGTGCTGAAAGGACCGTGCTGAGCGAACCGTGCTGAGCGGACCGTGCTGAGTGAACCGTGCCGAGCGGACCGTGCTGAGCGAACCGTGCTGAGTGAATCGTGCTGAGTAGACCGTGCTGAGTGAACCGTGCTGAGTGAACCGTGCTGAGCGAACCGTGCTGAGCGGACCGTGCTGAGCGAACCGTGCTGAGTGAACCGTGCTGAGTGAACCGTGCTGAGCGGACCGTGCTGAGTGAACCGTGCTGAGTGAACCGTGCTGAGTGGACCGTGCTGAGTGAACCGTGCTGAATAGACAGTGCTGAGTGAACCGTGTTGAGTGGACCGTGCTGAGTGAACCGTGCTGAATAGACAGTGCTGAGTGAACCGTGCTGAGTGAACCGTGCTGAGTGAACCGTGCTGAGCGAATCGTGCTGAGTGGACCGTGCTAAGTGGACCGTGCTGAGTGAACCGTGCTGAGTGAACCGTGCTGAGCGAATCGTGCTGAGTGGACCGTGCTGAGTGAACCGTGCTGAGTGAACCGTGCTGAGCGAATCGTGCTGAGTGGACCGTGCTGAGTGGACCGTGCTGAGTGAACCGTGCTGAATAGACAGTGCTGAGTGAACCGTGCTGAGTGGACCGTGCTGAGTGGACCGTGCTGAGTGGACCGTGCTGAGTGAATCGTGCTGAGTGGACCGTGCTGAGTGAATCGTGCTGAGTGGACCGTGCTGAGTGGACCGTGCTGAGTGAACCGTGCTGAGTGAACCGTGCTGAGTGGACTGTGCTGAGTGGACCGTGCTGAGTGAACCGTGCTGAGTGGACCGTGCTGAGTGAACCGTGCTGAGTGAACCGTGCTGAGTGGACCGTGCTGAGCGAACCGTGCTGAGCGAACCGTGCTGAGCGAACCGTGCTGAGCGAACCGTGCTGAGCTAACCGTGCTGAGTGAACCGTGCTGAGTGAACCGTGCTGAGCGAATCGTGCTGAGTGAACCGTGCTGAGTGAACCGTGCTGAGTGAACCGTGCTGAGCGAATCGTGCTGAGTGAACCGTGCTGAGTGAACCGTGCTGAGTGAACCGTGCTGAGTGAACCGTGCTGAGCGAATCGTGCTGAGTGGACCTGCTGAGTGGACCGTGCTGAGTGAACCGTGCTGAGTGGACCGTGCTGAGTGGACCGTGCTGAGTGAACCGTGTTGAGTGGACCGTGCTGAGTAGACCGTGCTGAGTAGACAGTGCTGAGTGAACCGTGCTGAGTAGACAGTGCTGAGTGAACCGTGCTGAGTGGACCGTGCTGAGTGAACCGTGCTGAGTAGACAGTGCTGAGTGAACCGTGTTGAGTGGACCGTGCTGAGTGAACCGTGCTGAGTAGACAGTGCTGAGTGAACCGTGCTGAGTAGACAGTGCTGAGTGAACCGTGCTGAGTGGACCGTGCTGAGTGAACCGTGCTGAGTGAACCGTGCTGAGTGAACCGTGCTGAATAGACAGTGCTGAGTGAACCGTGCTGAGCGAACCGTGCTGAGTGGACCGTGCTGAGTGAACCGTGCTGAGCGAACCGTGCTGAGTGAACCGTGCTGAGCGGACCGTGCTGAGCGAACCGTGCTGAAAGGACCGTGCTGAGCGAACCGTGCTGAGCGGACCGTGCTGAGTGAACCGTGCCGAGCGGACCGTGCTGAGCGAACCGTGCTGAGTGAATCGTGCTGAGTAGACCGTGCTGAGTGAACCGTGCTGAGTGAACCGTGCTGAGCGAACCGTGCTGAGCGGACCGTGCTGAGCGAACCGTGCTGAGTGAACCGTGCTGAGTGAACCGTGCTGAGCGGACCGTGCTGTGTGCTGCAGGGTGCGCGAGCGCGACGCGGGGACGTACGCGGTGAGCTTGGTTCACAAGGGCCGCGTCATCCACTACGAGGTGACGCGCGATGCGGGCGGCCGCCTCCTCCTCGGCAAGTCCCAGTACGACACGCTGTGCCAGGTACCTCCACACGCGGCGTCAACCGCCACGCGCTATCCACTGCTACACGAAAGACTCCCACGTTGAGAACGCGTGCATCGATATTTCCTCGTGCGGAGGTGTTACAATAACGACGAGCGACCGGTGCGTCATTTGGATGTATCGCTCCCTCCCAACTGGCGTCACCGTTATCAGCCAATTGCTGAGTGTTTACATGTGGGAGGAAACCGGAGCACACGGAGAAACCTACGCACGTGGAGGGTGGAAACACCGCATCGCGTACAGGCAGAACCAGTGCAGTCCGCAGGGCTGCTGTGCTGCCTTCTCGCGGCGAGCCAGCGCTACGGCACCTCCTCGATGCCCACGGCAAGGGAGCTTCACAGCCCATCTGCGTGGTGATCCACCAATCCTCAACTCCCCAGCGCTGGATTGCAGCCCAGGGGCAATGACACGATCCGCGTTTGTATTTGGGTTTTATGCAAAAATTATTGCGGGCACCACCCCACGTGAAGATTGCCACATTTACACCGATATCAACGTCCATACGCGCACGCCGATCCCCCGATCAGAATCTAACCGATACAGCTCCACATCTCCTCCTCTTCTCTCCTCCCTCCTCTCCTCTTCATCTCCTCGCTGCATCCGCTGGCCCGAGGCGTTTCATGCGTGTGGGTTCGTGACAAGATATCTGGCGCAGAGCCGACCACGTGGCCTAACCCCAACCCCATTTATAGATCCGCATCATCAGCAGCAGCAGTTCTTCTTTTGCGAGGGCGACCTGGATTCCATCAAACGCAGGGCCGGATTTATGCCAAAGCTGAGTAAGCTACAGCTTGCAGGGGCCTTCGAAATACGAAAAATAAATCGTACGAAATTTCTGGTTTTGCATAATCGGTTGAAAAATAAGACGGTTATTTTAAATTCCGATATGACAACAATGGAGAGGTGTTCCTCTTAAGCCTGACGCGGCTCAGGGTCCCAGCAACGTCACAATCTGGCCCTGCTCAATCGGCATTGTTCGATGACAATGGCGCACAAACACAAGACAACAAACTCATCGGGGAACTTTTTTGACGATGAATTCTCATGAGGGCCCATGGTGGCAACCAGTGCAGTCTCGACCCCTCGTCGTCCGCTCTGTCTCTTTCTGGCCTCGCTGGTCATGTGCCTTGAAGAAGAGCAATTGCCTGGGACGTCACCTCTTTTCCGTAGGCTCCTTTAAGGCCACAGTGTTTGCTGTCGTCATTGACGAATGCGTTGACATTTTCCGGTAAAATCAAGTTCAAGTTCATGTATTAGGTATAGCCCTGTGAGCCATTCAGCTCTCGAATCGGGTGCAACCGCAACAAACAAAAAACAAAAACATGAACAAAAATCATCTTAAAGTGAATATGTGACTAAGTGCAAACAGAAAATCCAAGAAAAGACAGCAAAAATATTGCGGTAAAATCAAGATAATTTAAGTGGACAATATTATTTAAACATTTCAATTTTACAAATCGAGAAAAACTTTACCGATTGTTTATAAAAAAATGTGTGAATGAGGTTAAGTATGCAGGTGATTTGCAGCCAGGGCCAATCCACTGCTGGATGAAGGCCTCCCACTCCAAGCCACCGCTACCTCCAATGAGCCCGTGCTCTTACGATCCGCCCCCCCCCCTGCTCCACACGCGAGAAGCCGATTCCATTATCGCTCCGTCTCCACGTTGGTCGTCCCTCTCAGAACGCGTTTCGTTCGCCCGGGTGTCGCTCCGTTATTAGACTCGACCATCGGCCATCACCGTCCTTTCGGCCGCAGTGCGTCCGGCTGCCCAAGCCACGCTCACTCCACGCACGCGGTGTGGGCGATGCCTCGAACCTGCGTGCGTTTTAGAATCCACGTGCTCCTCCTCTCGCCGTCTGCCAGTCGAACTCCTCACACGCATCGATCAATACGCTACTGGCGTTTGGTTGTCACTGATGCGATCGATCATTGTCGCTCCACGGCTGTATTTTTCCGGATGTTATTGTTTTAGTCGTTGTGGTGACCCGGGAGAGGGCCATCGCCTCTTGAGCCCTCGCCTCGTTAAACAAAGCGCACGTGACCCTCGCTTGACCCCCCCCCCCCCCCGCGTGCCTCCACGCGTCTCTCTGTCCCCGCGGTGCCAGCTGGTGGAGTTCTACAGCAAGAATTGTGGCGGCATCGCACGGACCCTGCGCAAGGCGTGTGCCGCGCCAGACTTGGGTGAGTGAGCGGAGTGCGCAGTGGCAACGCCTGAGCCTCACAGCGACACGGGCCTGGGTTCGATTCACGACCCGAGTGTGTGTACGCGAGAGAGAGTGTAGAGTGTGCGCGTGTTCTCCCCCTGTTGTGTGTGGGTTCTCTGGTTACCTCACACAGCTAAACCTACACACGCAGTGCAACCGGTATTGACTAAGCCAACCATCGCAATGTTAAAATGTTTACCTGCAAACCACTCCATTGGGATGACACAGCAGTCTTGAGACTCAGCGAGACTTTCCCGGGTGAACAAGCACACTGCTCATAATAATACATACGGGGGAGAGAGAGCGAGTGAGGGGAGAGAGTCACCATAAACCTGACCCTCAATCCTAAACCCAACCCTAACATCTTTTACATGATCAAATAAACCCTAACACCACTCTTGCAGAAGGTCACTTACTCCAAATACTAAACCCGAAACCTAACCTCTATTCACTAACCCCAACCCCCAACACGAACACCCAGTTATACGCAGAGGCACCTAAACCGTCAGCCCACAGAACCAAGGACCCTCACGCTGACACTAGGTGGCCACATAGGCCATGCTAACGCCTGCAACAGCGGCAACATGACGCGTGGCCAAGTAGCCCAAACACTGCAAGCCAATGTGGCATTCCATCGAGAGGCAGCCCAGGACCGGTTGAGATCACGCTCGCCACTGATGGGAACCTTGGTTGGGAATCGAACTCGGGAGGGCGGACTGATAGCACGGCGCGCTAACCACTGTGGCACCGCTACAGCTGCACGATGCACACGCAAACAAAGACAAAGATCTCCCGTACAGATTTTCACTGACTGTAGGGGCAAGTGCTGTTAGCGAGAACCTATGAAGGCCGACACGGCACACGAGGCGGTGGGTGGCCAACACCACGCCCGGCCGCCTTTGTATCCCGAATGTCAATGTATACACACCTCATCAGGTACTCATTTGAGGCTGAGTCGACCTAGGGGGAGGCCCAGAAGCAGTTCAGCTCGTAAATTTGAAGGGAGCAAACTTCACAGTAAATGCTCAATCGTTGCAGCAATTTTTAATGGAAATCGCTTTGAAAAATGTACCGAATAAGTCGTGACAAAAAAGATAGGCACGTGGATGTATTGACCAGAGTGAAAAACATTGTAGCGCAGAATTCACCCCACTTCACAAAACATCCCTTTCAATCGTTTGCCCACTGCATGGACTTGCGCCCTGCCACGGGAACGTGTAGTTAGCTCAGCACCGCTCGTTTTTAGCACACACACACACGTACGCACACACTGCGTGCGTACGTACGCACTCACACACGTGTACGTATGCACTCGCACACTGCGTGCGTACGTACGCACTCACACACGTGTACGTATGCACTCACACACGTGTACGTACGCACTCACACACGTGTACGTACGCACTCACACACGTGTACGTACGCACTCACACACGCGTACGTACGCACTCACACACGTGTACGTATGCACTCACACACGCGTACGTACGCACTCACACACGTGTACGTACGCACTCACACACGTGTATGTACGCACTCACACACGTGTGCGTACGCACTCACACACGTGTACGTACGCACTCACACACTGCGTGCGTACGTACGCACTCACACACTGCGTGCGTACGTACGCACTCACACACGTGTACGTACGTACGCACTCACACACGTGTACGTATGCCCACTTGACGGGGGGGGTCGGCGAGGTGCGGGGCGACCACGGGGAGCGTTGTCGTCGATTCTCAGCAGGATCCCAACGCGCTCGTCAACTCCCACGACCACGCGGAAACGGCGGCCACGGCGCTGGGGAGCGAGGCGTGGGGGGGGCAACTCGATTCACGATTTCCACAGGAAAAGCTCAAAGTTCTGAGTGCAGGCGACGAAAATGCAACGCCTCCGATTGGGGACGCGCAGCCCACGCGCACCGTGCCGCAGCGGCGGTGTCAAAAACCCTGGGGCCTTGAACACGATGAGAATATTTATTTATACTGGAGGAGGAATCCGATGAGCTATAGAGCTTTTTTTTTTCTCTCCCAGATGTCCAGTCTGGGCGAGTCAGAACGTTAGAGTAACAAATAATACAACAATACAACAGGAGCACCACGTGTAGGAAGAGTGAACAGATTACCTAAATATATAAATAAAACTAAACTACGTTTTATCTTACCAGAGTAAGGCCCAATGAGCTATTAGCTTGTTTTCAGAAGCGACCTGTCCACTAATACACAAGTACAACACTGGCAACGTTTCTGGCCACGGCCCTTCTTCATGGCACGTCGATGGAGAAGAGAGAGACGTTTTCAGCAGAGTCCTGGCAGGTTTCCACAGTCGAGGAGCGATGCTGCTGCTGCTGTATGACCCAAGCGAGTGATTTGTAGTGAGTGTTTCAGCATTGGGATGTTTTGGCCTCGACCAGTTGCACTGCCTGTGTGTTATAAGCGACGCGAAGAAACCGACAAAAACCCGGAGGAGACTCGTGCAAAACAGGGGAGATCGTGCAAACCCCGCTCGGCAGAGCTGCCGAGTCAGGGATCGAGCCCAGGCTCTCTTGTGGTTGCCATGCCACTCTAAAGTCGTTGGGGTGTGCAGTATCGTCCACACCCTGCGCACCACGGGGCCCTGCAGGCGTAGAGAGAGAGGGAGGAGTGGGTGACTAAACGTTGGGCCGCACTATGCACCCGTATATTGCATTGTGAGCAATATGCGAATGTGTTGAGCGTTTTTCTCAAGTATATTTTCGTAAACTAACGGCAGCTTCCATCGGTTTGAAGACGAATACGACTCATCATACTATTCATCATACGACTCATCACTGTGGGTCTCTCAATACACTGATGGATGAAGCTGTGTTAGTCGTGGGAGTTGTTTGACCATACTTCACCTCGCTGGTCAGTGCGGGTGGGTAAAGTTGGACCGACTGCTCGGTTTTCGCTTGCGTTGGTCGTGGCTGGCAATTGAACTCGGGTCGCCGGGTTCGTAGTGCTACGCGCTAACCACTACACCCTAAGTGAGCTTTTTTAAAATATATATTTTGGGGGTTTCCGATACAAAGAGAGTGCACATTGTGCCATAGGATGAAGACATTTTTATTTGGAACTTCTTGCAATGAGCAGTGCACTCCACTGTAGCAGAGAATGGGCCTAAACAAGTAAAAATCAAGCAACAATTTATGCCATCGCACAAATAACATTCAATTCGTTGTATCGCGTAACCGGTAACCGCATGAATAATACAACGGTAAACAAAAAAACCGGTTCCCGGTTTGCTATACATAGCTAGACACGGCGCTACACGCGGCCTGCGTTGCTGTTGTTAACCGGGAAACAGAGGCAGCTGCTGCTGCTGCCACAACGGTGGCGTCACGGACAGCGGCGGCACGGGGCTCGCAAGGCGGAGGCCACCGGTTCGACTCCGTCTCTCGGCGCGCGGGAGTTGCTACAGCGGAGTCTTGCTATATGACGGTGTCAATGAGAGTGTGAATGTTTCCACCGGAATCGGTTCCTGGCTGCTGACTTTCGGAAACCTCTCACCGATTCTGGAAAGGGTTACTTGTTTAGCGGCGACAGTTTAACTTCCCACGCTTGAGCATTAACTGTTTCATTCTCCGAGTGGGAATTTACTCAAATATAGTTACAAACCACATTTTACATCGTGGGGGGTTTTTTGTTGTTGTGCGCAGTCATTGGTGACCGGGCAGAGTCAACCACCTCGCCACGCACGAGGACTTGGTTCCATCAACCCGGATTCAAACGCAGGATGGCAGTGTTCTAACATGACCATTATGAACCCTTCTGAGAGAAGAGAGAGAGAGCGATACACTCAGACCCAGGGCTCGAACCCAGGCCCTCAGTGCTGCTGGCGCAGTGTCTCTGACAAGGCCATTACGAACCCCATTGCGAGAGGGAGAAAAACACCCGGACCCAGGGCTCGAACCCAGGCCCTAAGAGTGCGATGTGGGTTCAGTGTCTCTGACAAGATCATTAAGAACCCCCTGGTGGAGCGATTGTTGACGACGGATGGATTATAACCACGTCACCCCCCCCCCGTGTCCCTCTCCCCGTGTTTGCGCTGCCACCCGGCTGCTGCTGCTGCTGCTTCGGTGACAATGAACCCTCCTCCTCCTCCTCTCAAGGTCCAAGGCTGCCTGACAATGTAAGCCGAACAGCGCGCACACGCACACACACGCACGAACACGCACGCACACGCACGCACACGCACGCGCACGCACACGCACACGCACGCACGCGCACGCACACGCACACACACGCACGCACACGCACGCACACGCACACACACGCACACACACGCACAAGACAAAGCTCCCCCACGTAGCCTCCACAGACTGGGGGGTGCAAGTGCTGTTAGCGAGCACCTATCGATGCATATAGACACACGCACTCATACACACGTGCTCATATGTGCAAACCCATATTCACATACACAAATATACACACGCAACAATATATGCATAGATGCATACATACGACGAGCTAATCGTATTTACGCTGTATGTTGCATGTATGTACGTAGCCAACCACTTTAATCACGTACGTGCCTTATGTATTTACATGCAAACACACACACAAATGCACACAAAGAGGCACGTGCAATCACACAATATCCACACACATTCATATCACAAAACACACACAGTCTACACACGTCGGCCACAAACACAGGCACACACGCGCGCACACACGCCAAATCCTCAAAGTGACCAATGAGCAATGCACCTCGAGTGCTCAGTTTCGTGAGGGCTCCGAATCTAAGCAGAGGGTTTGAGTCTGGCTGGCACTTGACATGGGTGACCACCCAGAGAGCAGGGAGAGTGTCACTCGCGTGAGTGACCCGCGCCACCACGAGAACGCACGCACGCGCAGCACAGAGCGAGAACACCCCACAGCAAGAGCCTCCAGGGTCCGAGCCCCGACCCGGACACCTTCCTGTGTGGAGCGCGTATAATCAAACTCGCAAACACTCGCACAGGCACACATCCTCTCACACACCGATACCAATACCCCCCCCCCACTCGCCACTAAGTGACGGTGATGTCACCACTGCGCCCGTCACAGGCCAGGTGCACTTTGAGACGATCTGAAGTGTCGAAGGCTCGCTGGCAGGAGCATCCTTCACGAGCCTCCTCCATAGAGGCCGCTCTAGCGTTCATCAGCAAGTCCGATAAGCTCCACATCCTCCCGTACCGCATCAGTCCATCTCTTTAACCCGTTTAGCCCCCTCTATCCGGCCAAACAGAAGCTGCTTGGGCATGAGGATTATGTGACCCAGACAACGCAAACCTCACACACACACACACATGCGCGCACACACACATACAGTACCCACAACCTCACCCGCTTGCCACATGTTTAAACACACGCAGACACACCAATCCACTGTTACATCCACAACCTCACATTCACACACATGCAGTTGTATTGTATCTGATGGTGATGACATGGACACAAATGACGGTGACCATCATCATACCACAATATACACACAGAGACAAAGGTCCTCCGTATAGCTTTTAATTTAGCAGAGAGTCGGGGCAAGTGCTGTTAGCGAGTACCTATTAAGGCCGGTATGGCACATAAAAGGGGTGGCTTTGTCAGTACCATGCCCGGCCGCCTTTGTATCCCTGGTGTTCATTTTGTACACACCAGGTACTCATTTGAGGCCGAGTCGACCAAGGGGAGGCCCAGGACCAGTTTAATGATTCTCTATCATTGTTATTGGTCCTGAGAGGGAATCATAGCGAAGTGCACTACCCACCACACTACCGCTCCCCACACATCACGCAACGCACCATGCACGCAACACACCATGCACGCAACGCACTCATTACACACAAACACGCACGCACACAACCTCCCCGACTCACACCCTCATTGATTGGTTGGCACCACCGCCACCACCGCCACCGCCGCCCCGCTTGTGAGGTCTCTGGCCGCAGCACCGCCGCTCTTATCTCCCGCGCCACGCGTGCCCACGCGCGCCTGCACCCAGCCAGCCCGGCCACCTCGGGGCCCATGCCGAGGTCTCGCACCCCCCCCCAATCCCCCACCGCTCAACGCCCCCCCCCCCTGCCCCACCACCCCTCCTCGCTCGCTCACGACTTTCCGGGTAACTGCTGGGCCCGAGTAGGTGGCACAATGACTCAAGTGGCCGCAGTCCACAGCGACAGAGGCGGGGAGTGGGGGGGGGATTCTGGACGCGGTGTGCAGCCGGGTATGGAAATGTGTTTTTGAGTAAGTGGCAAGTGACGAGTAATCCTGGCCATAGCGAAAAGGGGGTATTCTGGATGTGGTGTGATAACAATGAAAACAATAATAAGTTTGACGCGTGAGTTTATTATACACGTGGGAGGAACCGGAGCATCCGGAGAACACCCACAACCTTGAGGGGGAAACGCAGATGGCAAAGAGTCCGCTTGCTGTACCGCCTTCTTCTGGCGATCCCAGCAGCACACGGCTCCTCCTCGACACCAATGGGGAGGTCCACGGCAATCGTCATCCGCCAGGTGTAGACTAAGTTCCGAGTCGCTGGTTCGTACAGTGGAGTAGGTGGCACCTCACTGGTAGGAGCCAGAGTCCATAGCGAGACATAGGTATTCTGGACGTGGAGTGCTGGGTGCTTCAATAAAAATGTGAACACTTCTGGAATTTGCAACAATACCGCAAGAAATGTGCTGCCTCCCGGCTCTGGAGACCACCTGGAGAAGATTCCAGGCACGCGTTGACAACGATGGCGAACGAGTCGGAGACTCCTTGACTTTTTGAAGCTTTATGGGAACCTCATTTGCCAGTAAAAATATGATAATTGGTTTTTTACCCTTCTATCTGGCAACAAAACTGACACCTTTTTACAAGGAGTCATGTTTGTATAGACCGCAATACCTGCAGTCATAATACAAACAAAAGAACATAACTCTGATAATGTGCACTGTCCTTGAAGTTGATTGGTCCACACCCGAGACAGCTTTCCTTCGAGCCTAGTCTCACATGGGTTGCGCCTTTTGGCGTCATCTGGTCCAACCCATGTGAGACTAGGCTCGAAGGAAAGCTGTCTTGGGTGTGGACCAATCAACTTCAAGGACAGTGCACATTATCAGAGTTATGTTCTTTTGTTTGTATTATGACTGCAGGTATTGCGGTCTATACAAACATGACTCCTTGTAAAAAGGTGTCAGTTTTGTTGCCAGATAGAAGGGTAAAAAACCAATTATCATATTTTTGAAGCTTATTAACATACATTTGTTATCACGCTACAGTGTATTATACATTCTTTTTCCATTTAAAAGAATAGTCCCATATAAGTGTTAAGCACATTTTGAAGCACCCTGTGATAATGCTACCCTTAAACATAACCAGCGACCCAACTAGCATTAGCTCTAACACTCACCAACTCGCCAAACCAGACACTAACACCAGCTCTACCCTCACACTAACCAACTCGCCACTAGTACTAGATCTACCGTTAACCCTCACCAACTGGCCACTAGTACTAGATCTACCGCTAACACTCACCAACTCGCCACTAGTACTAGATCTACCGCTAACCCTCACCAACTCGCCACTAGTACTAGATATACCGCTAACACTCACCAACTCGCCACTAGTACTAGTTTTACCGCTAACCCTCACCAACTGGCCACTAGTACTAGATCTACCGCTAACCCTCACCAACTCACCACTAGTACTAGATCTACCGTTAACTCTCACCAACTCGCCACTAGTACTAGATATACCGCTAACCCTCACCAACTCGCCACTAGTACTAGATCTACCGCTAACCCTCACCAACTCGCCACTAGTACTAGATCTACCGCTAACCCTCACCAACTCGCCACTAGTACTAGATCTACCGCTAACCCTCACCAACTGGACACTAGTACTAGATCTACCGCTAACCCTCACCAACTCACCACTAGTACTAGATTTACCGCTAACACTCACCAACTCGCCACTAGTACTAGATCTACCGCTAACCCTCACCAACTGGACACTAGTACTAGATCTACCGCTAACCCTCACCAACTGGCCACTAGTACTAGATCTACCGCTAACCCTCACCAACTGGCCACTAGTACTAGATCTACCGCTAACACTCACCAACTCGCCACTAGTACTAGATCTACCGCTAACCCTCACCAACTGGCCACTAGTACTAGATCTACCGCTAACCCTCACCAACTGACCACTAGTACTAGATCTACCGCTAACCCTCACCAACTCGCCACTAGTACTAGATCTACCGCTAACCCTCACCAACTGGCCACTAGTACTAGATCTACCGCTAACCCTCACCAACTGGCCACTAGTACTAGATCTACCGCTAACCCTCACCAACTCACCACTAGTACTAGATCTACCGCTAGCCCTCACCAACTGGCCACTAGTACTAGATCTACCGCTAACACTCACCAACTCACCACTAGTACTAGATCTACCGCTAACACTCACCAACTCACCACTAGTACTAGATCTACCGCTAACCCTCACCAACTGGACACTAGTACTAGATCTACCGCTAACCCTCACCAACTCACCACTAGTACTAGATTTACCGCTAACACTCACCAACTCACCACTAGAACTAGATCTACCGCTAACCCTCACCAACTCGCCACTAGTACTAGATCTACCGCTAACCCTCACCAACTCGCCACTAGTACTAGATCTACCGCTAACCCTCACCAACTCACCACTAGAACTAGATCTACCGCTAACACTCACCAACTCACCACTAGAACTAGATCTACCGCTAACACTCACCAACTCGCCACTAGTACTAGATCTACCGCTAACCCTCACCAACTCGCCACTAGTACTAGATCTACCGCTAACTCTCACCAACTCGCCACTAGTACTAGATCTACCGCTAGCCCTCACCAACTCGCCATTAGTACTAGATCTACCGCTAACCCTCACCAACTCGCCACTAGTACTAGATCTACCGCTAACATTCACCAACTCGCCACTAGTACTAGACCTACCGCTAACTCTCACCAACTGGCCACTAGTACTAGATCTACCGCTAACACTCACCAACTCGCCACTAGTACTAGACCTACCGCTAACATTCACCAACTCGCCACTAGTACTAGACCTACCGCTAACATTCACCAACTCGCCACTAGTACTAGACCTACC